ACTGATTGAGCTGAAACTTTCTGTAAATTTATATATCAATAAAGGGTATGGGTGTGGCTGTGAATGTGGGTGTACATGTGCATGTGAGTGTGGGTGTGCATGTGCGTGTGAATGTGGGTGCGGGTGTGAGCCGAAGGAACACCCATACCCTCACACACACACCCTCACACTCACCCCCACACCCACACCCCGTACCCACACCCCGTACCCACACCCCACACCCTGAAATCATCAGAGCAGTTGTTGGATGTAATAAAGGATTGGTGGCAAGGTGTCTCCTATTCAAAATTCATCACCTCAATTTCTCTTTGAGATGGACATACTAAATTTAGAATATCGGATTCTTCATCATTAAATCCTTTAATTTGTTCTTGTAGTTCTTTTTCTTCCTCCTAAATAATAAAAGAATTAATGGTATTGTATGTGTGATATTGTTAATTGAATCAAATTTACTGATGCCCAATGTTCATTGTCATGATTTTTCATTTTGACGATTGTTTCTTGGATCAATATTTGCATCAGCCATATTTTCCTAGATGAGCATGTGAATATTTTTTGTTTGATCACAACTGACTAGTTTATTTCTAGTCAAATGGTGATATATTCTAAATTCACAGCTCGGGAAACCAAGACAATTTGAGGAAGTCAAAGAATTCATGACATATGTTGAAGTTAGAGAACTGTATCTTGACAATATAAAATCTTAAGGACTGAAGAAAATCTTAGATTTACATGAATATTATAGATTTATGCTTCGAGACTATCATAAAACTGAATACGTTCAAGATTACACTGTGTAATATCAATAGAAGATTATTATCTTAAAGAATCTTGTCCTAGTGTGAAGATGTAGATCTTTAAACTTCAAATGGATATTGAATTCATTAAATAGTAGTGAGTTGCAACTTCTTGGACCATGCGCATTGTAGACAATCTTAAGGGTAATTTGTAAAATAATACATACTGTGTTTCTACCCTGCAATTCCACGTCATTTGGTTTACCAATCATAGTTGTTTGTTGAAATTCGAAAGATTTATTATGAACTGCTAACTAAGTAGACGTTTCAGCTGATGTCTATAAGAATTATTTGATTCCAATCAGTAAAACGACTGTCAATGAGAAATATAATTACCAATTCATTGTTTTGATGACGTAATACATAAAATGTTGTGATATTCGTCTCTTGTTCATTTTGAGTATTCTGAAAGCTGTGCGACGTTTTTTTTATATTGACAGCTAATAGAGGCCTACTGTAACGAAAATGGTGATGCAGCTCTACCACTGGTTGGGCATTGATGTTAATGAGCTACTAGTGCATTCCACTATCGTTATGACAAATGGGGAGACATAGTTTTAGTGCCTTAAGACACGATGTTTATTCGACTATGTTCTACATCCAAATGTAACTATCTTACACAAAACACGAGCTTATATACTGGAGAGAAAATAAGGAAGAGAAAGAATAGATGGTACAATACAAAAGGGAGAAGGGAAAGAGGAAAGATATAACAGAATATTCCACATTACAAGGTTAGTCAATGGTTGCTGTTGAAGGGACGTCCATCTTCTTATGTCAACCTTGTTGGTCCAATGACATTGAGAAGATGTGCCTGTTAGCGTCGTATGACGCAATAACGATTAACGTACAATCGTATCGTTTACATATGAAAGACTCATTTTTATACATGAGTAAAATAAGAGACGATGATAAGAAAGATGATGAAGCCAAGGAGAGAATAGATACAGAAGAGCAATGGAATAAAAACACATAGATCAGAACAATATGTATCATATATAATTAAATGGAAAGCGCATTGCGACAGACAGAGAACAAGGTTCCATCATGGGTAGATAAACGTAAGAGTAACGCAGTTAAGAACATACGTATTATTGATTGTACAAGAGCACACTGAGAAAGATAAGATATCACATGGGATAATATGTCTATCGGCACACTTACCTTTTTAGAATTTGATCTCAGTGTCTTGAGTGTGGATGTGGGTGTTACTATCGATACAAGCCACACCCACATATGATACTTACATTGTCTTACTAGCAACATCAAGTAACTTCGACATATTCTAATGAGCTTAATTTTTCCAATATTCAATAGAAAAATCATCAATCCTTTTAAAAGTCTTTGATCACACTCTGGAGAAAATTATCATTTTCCAAAAAATGCCTTTCTTTAAGGATAATACCGAAATAAAATGATATTTATCTCACGCTAATTACTTAGCCACCCAATTTCAAGGGGAGGGTTAAACAGAACAACTTGACCTTAATATCAAGTATTAAGTAATTCGTTAACACTTAATATTACCAATTATGTGATGGCTGCTGATCTTTTTTATTAATATTAACGGTTAAGTAGAACCATTCAAGATTTGTTTTAATTAATTCACGTTAAAAAAAGCATTCAGTCTAAGCATCACCTCTCACCTTACGAATTTTCTTATTATCAAATAAATACTCTGGCATTTTTATTTATTAACAATTCAATCGTGTTTTAGTCAAATTTATTATTAATTAATCAGTTATTGTTGAAGGCCTCCTCCTCCTCCTCAGAAAATCCAATTTTTGAAAGAAATATTGAAGTTGAGTTTTTATCATTGGAAGATGCAACGAAGCTTCCTCTTTCGGAATATCTATGACTTCGAGGAAAATGATCAGATTTTCAAAGACTTATCACATCAAACTTTGATTCTATCACCATATTTTTTGAGAAATTTTCATGATTTTCAACGTTTTCAGTTTTGGAAAAACTGCATTGCCACATGCGTTAGCTTTGAGTAGAACATTTTTGTATTACCTAGCGTGTCAGATGGCGTTAGCTACCATCATCTCTTACGTGCTTTAAAATGATCCATTGCAGTGAATTAATAAAATATGATTTTAATATGATTTTTGTTGAATTTCAATGAAAAAGTTCAGTTCTAAAATTTTTTAGTGTTTTTTCTCAAAATGGTGGTCGCAGGACGCATCTCCAGCGAAAGTCAACTACAATACGATATAAAGTCGAATATTTTTTTTGTTTGAAAGAGCATATTCGAATGCTGTGCCTATGAGAGCCCTTTTTTTTTGAAATAGACTTTGCTTTTATTCTATTAAAAAGCGCCTTCTTAAATAGAGCGCCATTTTTTGAGAGTTATTTCAGTAACCGAACTTGTCAAGATTCTTTTTCCATTAAAAGATAAAATTAAAAAAAAAGAGCCCTCATAGGCACTGCATCCGAACATGCTCTCTCAAACAAAAAAAAATGAAATATATATATATACTGAAGAGTCACTGAGAACTTTTGGAGATGTGATAAGCCATTTTTTGACCCTTATTGAGTTCGTATCTCAGTTACACGTCATGATAGAAGGCTGAAAATTTTATCACACACATCCTATCACAGGTCCAACATATCCTTCAAATATCAGTCTGTTTGGATATTCTTAGGCTGGGATCGATTTTTGAGGGAGGAAGGACCTTAAAATGAGGCTTTGTTACGAGTCGAAAATGTGTTCAGTAAAATCAGGCAATCACGTGTAAAAAATCTCAATTGAAAATCAAACTCATAAAAATTTTGATTAATCGAATGCTCTCTCTACTCAATAATTAAAAAGATTGGCTAAAGATAAGGATCATATCTCGAAATCATTTGTATCATCATCCAAATTTTAATGAGTCGATGCAAAAAAAATAAAAAACAAAAAAAAAATTATATTTTAATCAAGTATCAAGTGAGACTACAACGTATGTGTTTAATATGGTTGAATATTTGATGAAATATATACATCCATTTGTTGTTATCATTTGTGACCGTTGTCAAGAACTCTGTGAATACCTTCAACTAAAGACTCTGGCTTATCTACAAAAATAAATTTAGCCTTGGGTGCATGTTCATGAATGATATTGACGATACGATTAAACCAGTGCAATGTAGCGACTTCACGTTGAAAATGTTCATCATAACCAGTGAGTCCACCACCTATTCTTTGTAGATAAATAGTCATTTTCTTGTTTTATATGTAAACTAGAGAATACACATACCGAGTGATACAGCATCCCAATCATTTTCTTTGAGAAGGGCAATCAGTTTTTCATCGCCTCCTGCATTATTTTCTAAACTACCATCGATCTTTATATTTTTGTAACCAAGTGCTTTTAAATTTTCTTCAGCTTGTTTTGCTGTAGATACACCACGACCTAGACCTAGAATTTTCCAATCGTAATTTATGGATGAAGATGATGCCATGCTATTTAATACGTTATGTTTTTGTATGATATGCTCGTTTGTTACAATACCCTACGTTCTTTCTTGCTTTTTCTATGATAACATATAATAGACGATGACGATGCAATTTTTTCACCATCATGCAGTCTGCATAGTGTTGCGTTTGTCATAGCACGTTGCATTTTTTTTCTTGCTTTCTGTACTACACATATAAGTGATGTTATTTGTATTTTCTTTTTCGTTTTTTTTTTCTTTTATCTTTCTGTCACACAACAGAATAATCATTCGAATGTCTCTCTTTCTACTCACAAAACTGCTTAATTTCACATATCTGATTATAACAAGCAAGTATGAGAGAAAGAAAAGAATGTAATACATACTAAAGACAAAGAAAAAGCAATAGGACAGAATAACAAGCTGAAACGAATCAAGGCTACCAGGCATGACGGTAAAATGTTTGGCAATGTGCTATCTATGTTTGTTCGCGCGTGTGTCGATTATTTTCCTTTCAATTCAACAGACATACTTGATCTAGATACTTTTTTACCAGAGTGTTCAGAGCGTGAGAAGAGTCATGATAATTCTATAGGTGATCGCAGAGTTAAGCCTCAGTTCTTCTACAGTTCCACGATTCTGAAAGCCAACATAGTGAATTATCTAACGTATAAGTGATAGAATTCAATGGGGATCAAGTTTATGAGCATTGATTTAAAATGATTTGATTGTAGCACTCATAATGAAGACGCATTTTATAATTACAACAACATTTTTCAAACAAAATAAAGTTTTTATCGTTCTAAAATGACTATGGTTAATTTTGTAGAGCATTTTTCTATTATAGAAACAAATTTCAAAGATCTGTTTTAATATAAAAATATTAATTTTACAAATCGAGTCAGGTCTTCTGACCAACATTTATGAAATCTTTCAAGATTTAGTCGAATGGACAAGTGATGTTTTCAATCGATAGAAGTTTCTTCCTTTGTGTCTCGTAAGTGTTTTTTAATTGTCCAACAGATTTAATCAACCGCTGAATTAGGATGAAAAGTTCATTTGAAGCGAAAATTTGTATAATCAAATTGATGTCAGTCAAGATAAACGAAGTCGACAGAAGTACGACCAAAAGCGCTTAATCAAAGAAAGCACAAGATGATCATTTGTTTTTGAGATTCAATGTCACGAATGTCGTCGGTTGATCCATTATTAGACGTTTATTAACTGTAAAACATGGATGCGGTCGTCACTCTCCGAATGAACCTTTGACTGATGTCACCAGTGAAATTCTTCTTGTCAAATCTGTAGCTAAATTAGACTAACTTAATTGGTATAGAGAAGACTCATACACACCCACCACCCACACCCTCAAGAGAGAGAGAGAAAGAAAGAAAGATAATATCATTTTTTTTTCATTCATTCATCATCAATTCAGAGCAGAGCACGAAACCGAATCGAATTCGAATGGACTTTTGGAGAAACCAAGTCGAATCGAATCGAATGGAAAATTTCTTCAATCGAGTCGAATCGAATCAGATTTGAGATGCCTTATTCAGCTTTTTTTTCCTTTCGATTATGTAATAATGTAACACGTTAGTGATGATTAGTTTACATGAACAACACATATAAGAGAACATAACACCAATTTAGAAGTTTTAATAAACTTCCTCTAATTGTTGTAAAAGCATTTGTTAACTATGAACATGTAATCAAATAACAAATATGTATGATATAATCTAATGATTCTTCGATAAGTTAAATACTCTTGATACATATTTATTGACAATTGTACAGAGCCTTTTGTCTTAACAAATTTCATAAGAGAAACAGTATATTCATTCTTTACTACAGACATGTAGAAGTAAAGTGATATGTGTATCTGTTCATATCGATACTGTTTAATTATGTCTACACATTTATTCTCTTTCAAATGTTTTGGTTAATGCTTTTGAATGAAGGATTATAAAGAAAATGATCTGCTACGATTTTATTGTAAAGTGATTTGGTTAATATTCGTAGCGGTTGATTCTTGTTGATCTAATTTTTGCGACATGCACTCAAGTTGCGAAATTTCAACTATTCAAGGATTAAGTTCAGTCTTATTTCTTGGAATGATCGACGTAGAAGTTTTACGAGCAACTTTATTCTGTAAAATCTGCTTTCTTATACACAGATGGTATGATAGAACTAAATGATCATAAAATATGTATGGAAGCACCACGTACATATAAGGTAAGGAAAACAGTAGAATAAATATTTGCCGAAGAGACAAGCGGAACATGTATGTCGAACATTGTGTACGAGAACAGTAGCATTATTTCTGCAGCTAGTGAAAGTCGAATCGAATCGACTGAAGATTTTCTCATTTTTTTCGCGCTCTGACCCCACTCATACCCATACCCACACCCTCAGATTATAACATGTTCTTTGTATTCTTCCTCCGCTTTAAAAATTGTATTTGTTGAGAGACGTCGTGAGAGTCACATGAATGGAACATAAAGAAACAAGCTGATAAAGTTACACATTAACACCCATACACATATCGAAAGAAAAATATAAAAAATCATACAATTGAGAATAAAATAGTAGGTCTAAGTAATGACATTCTATCGGAGTTAACTCGTCGTTTCTGTTGGTGTGAAACTAGGGACAAGGGCAAATATCGATGAGAACATTTTGTTTTTTGATACGATGTCATCTATTATACGTCGGGATAATGAAAACTTGTTAATTTATATTGTACATAAAATCAACCTAATTTATGTTTTCAAGTCAAACGCTTTTTTAGTGACCAACCTGTTTTATGTATTTCATCAGTTATGGGATTTCGTAATTTGTCGAAAGAGCTATCTCATAAGCTATAATAGAAGTTGACTTCTTGAAGATCAAATGTGCAAAATAATTGTGACAGGATTTTATTTCTCTCATTATGCAATCCAAATTGAATCGTTTCAGTTGCTGAAGTTTTACAAAGTGATCTATTGAGATACTGACTTTTTGGCGACAAGACTACATGAGATCTGCCGCATGAAAATCTGTCTGAAGTACCTTCTATTCTTTCAATATTTTCCAAGACAGAGACTTAACGTAAGTATAGGTGTGGCTACATGTGCATCGTTGTTACACGTAGGATCTGAGTTTTTTCTTTCCTTCACCCACATTCTCACTCTATGTTTGACTTTCCGTAACGTCATCAACTTGAGTGATGTCGTGCGGCCTTGATTTCACGACCGTGTCATGCGGTATAGTAATTGTCTATATTCGTCGAGTTAAACAAATAATCAATGGTTGGATAAAAAATAGTGTTAAGTTCTGTACATGTTCAGCAGAGCAGTTTCTAGAATATTGAATATAATGTCTTACCATAAAAGAAGAAAGTTTAGTGAAATATTTTCAAGAGTATAGAAAGGAAAAAAAATACACACAGATGTATGAAATTTCATTTGTTTAATTCATTGTATACCTCGTATGAAATTATTCAGCAGTCTCGCTGATCTAGTTGATCACTCAAACCTGTTCTTTTAAGTCTAACACTCCCAATATCACTAATATATTCAATATCTTTTGTACTTATCTATATATCTCATTATGTCGCTTATGTATATGAGTGAATAGCATCATCATTTTAGCGTTCGAGAAGAAAAAAGGATGTGAGTGTGTGTGTGTCTTCTATTCACCCAAATTTACAAGCATGCTCAAAGGCACACGACACACCCAGCCACACACATTCGAGTAGAAACAAAATACGATTTATTCTTTGGAATGTCGAATGATTTGCTTGGAGGTGAATGTTCCACACACGGAAATACTACTTAAATACGAGTGACATTTTTTTAATTTCACAATAGATTTTAATAATATTTTGAATTAATAATTAATGTTTTATTGTGCTTAAATCATTCTCCATTATTTCACAGTTAACCAATTTTGTATATTATGTCACAAGGCAAGTTCAGCAAGCAACAACAAATAGGAAAAGTACACATACAACTCCTAAAGAACAATTACATGTATTATATAGGATGCAGGTATAGATAGGGATTTGGTAGCTTGTATTTAACCTTCAGCTCGAAATATGGATATTACTTCTGAATCAAATCCACATACATAATTTGCAACTTGGCAATCGTTGCCGAAACAAAAAGTATTTATATTATTTTTGCCCAAGATCAAGTTCAAATCCAAATACTAAAGATTTGCTTCCAAATCCCAAAATCTTTTTCTAATTGCGCCGCACTTCTTCTAAAGTAGATCATTGTTGATGTCATCTTATCTTACTCAATTCTTTGAGATTTGGACCATTTGAGGCCAAATCTAAATCTTATCTCAAATCTAACAGCTCGTGAATTTTCATATAGCTTGTTTTACTCTTTGAATATTTTATTTTCAATGAAACACATCTCAAATCCAATGAAAATGTTTCATTTCGTATTTCTTTAAAATAGACATTCATATCTGTTAAACGGTGATATATATATTATCTTAATAGACTTGAGAATGACTCGGTCTATATCATCAAGTGACAAGTAAAATCAGAAACATAAAAATAAAATTCAATGTCATAAATCATTGAAGAAAATACTCGAGTTAAAAGTTACCCAGCTTATCTATCTATGTTGTAGAAAGTTAAAAAAAATAATCCAAAACGATAAAAATCGAAAGAAGAAAAACAATAAATCATCAGGAAGAACTATATGATCTAGAGACCAAATATAAATATTTAGTTAAACAATAAGGTTCTATTACTTACTAATGATTCGAATAGTTTATCAAAATCTACATATACGTTAGAGCATAGGTGCACTTCATTGTTTCATAATAAATTAATGAATGTATAAATCTCTGAAAAAAACAATTCTATATTCTCTGATAATGTGTACGGAATCAATTTGGATGCTTTTATATAGTCGTTCTCTTCCGCATTGTATATCAAAAAATGTTTGATAAGATTCATTGCAATAGATTAACTATAATTTTACTTCGATTTGATATTGCTCGAAGCAATGGGCAAAGTGGTGCATTATTGAAATGAAAAGTCCCTCTTTAAGGACGTAAAATTAATGCATCTATTCTCAACAATTGATATGTTTTAGTATAAGTAGAGAATCAATGAATATGATTTTTCGTTCGAAGACAGACTATCGATATTATTAATAGATGATTTCGATTTATTTAATGTAATCATGATTTTGAAAATGTCCAAATCATTCTGAACATAAATGCCGATTTGACAAATAATGCAAAACGACAATCTAATCCTGGTTTCAATGCACTATGTTCCTATGACTCTTGTTGTATAGACTTTCTACATTGCTTATCTATGTTATGAATAAATAAAAACACATTTTAATTTCAGTCTGGCTGTCAAATAAAGAGTCATATGTACTACTCATCAGGATTCTGATATGGATTCTTTAGACTTAGAAACTACAAGTTCTTTTCTATAGCATTTATATTATCGTTGACTATGATGTTACTAAACAATAGTGTTAATGAAATCATGTTTTGTTAGTTTTGAAACAAGAAGAAATTTCAATATATATTCGTCTTATAGCAGGTCAAACGGTTTATAATTGTGAGGATCCTCACTTTCGAGTAAGACTGTGCAAATGCAATGATCTATGCATAGATCGAAACTTACATGCACAACTATGAATACTGTTTGATATAAAAACTCTTAACAAAAGAGTTACAAGTGCTATTGACATTGATTTCATTCTATAATACTGCTGACAAATAAAATTGATCAAGATAAGAGCAAAATAAAAAATGATACTTCTCATTTTCTTTTTATTTGTTGCATTTTGTTCCCGATTATTGAAAAGATTTACGATTATTTTCTCTTAAAATTCTATTTTAGCAGAAAATGTCAACTATGATTTGTTATTGTGCGTGCCTAATCTCTGTCTTCTTGAGACAATACAACCCATGAATAGGTATAAAACAGATATCTATAAAACGACAAATCAATCTTTCAGCCATGCAAGAGAATGAATTTTTGTCAGCTTTTCTCCGGTACATGATCTAGTTTGTCCATAAACTCATAGATCCTACTAGACTAGATTTTTTTTTTAACTTGAACATAAATCTCATATCCTTTTTCGAGATCAACTTAATTTCGTTTACTTCAAGTGAAAATTTTGATTATCAATGTCTGAAACAGTCCAACTAATATAGTGGTATCTTTTTGTTGCTAAAATTTCCACTCGAATACATGTGACTTGAGGAGCACACCGCCTTATCAAAAAAATGTTATAGGATCTGAAATTAGATTGAAGAAAATATCAAAATTACTACTTTTAAGAGCAGTATGTTTTTTTGTAAATTTTTAGCGATATATCCTGTTATAGTCCCATCAAATATATCTGTGTCGATGTCATTGTATGGAAAAGAATCGTCTTCGTTATCTCTTGAGAAATTTCAGTTTAAATGATGATCCCAAAAACTGTTTACCTGACATGTATTATCCTACTCATTCGCATAAAATATTTTTCTACAGTCTAGAGAGACCGAAACGATGGAGTTAAGGCAAGCATTTGTAGACATTGGATGCAATAAATATATGTATTTAGCTTATCTAAAAATTTTACTCTTTCGAAATGATTAGATTAGATTGGACGAAAAAATTCGTTAGTTCTTCAAGGATGAGAATAAGAGTAAGCGTCCAATTGGTGAAACATCGTATGAGATTCATCGGGATATCTGACAATTATTAGGGGAATATTGAACAAAATCAGTATTGATTGACCCTAAAAATTTCTTAGATGATCACGGATATCAGACCGTTTAGAGTTTTAGAGCAATCTTTCCCAGGCACACATATACATGATGGATAGAAGTGTTAGCAGCAAAGAATCAATATAGATAAGTAAAACTATTAGCTTCAATTGTGTGATCTACAAAAAGTTTTGTTCAGATTTCTTCTTTAGTACTCACTCGATTGTCTAATAATCGAGCAGAATTTTTGTATTAATTTGTTTGAATGGCAAAGAAATTGAAAGACTGAAATTTTTCAGTAAACTGATGATTTCTTGCATTGTTTCGTTCTAATTTTTGTGCAATCTTCTTCATTTATCTGTCTTGTTTCAGCTACAGTTTTTTTTCCTATTGAATAGAAGATATGTGTCGTCTAGTTACAATTTTTATTCTTATTGGACTTACAGTCATCGTCTTTGCTAATGATCGATTATATAAGTCTATGGAACGCATTGATTGTTATCCGGAACGTGAATCTCCATTTTCAAATTTTTCGAAAGAAGCATGTTTAACACGTAATTGTCTATTCGACGATAATGCACCCCAAAATGAGATTCAATGTTATTTAAGATCGAACTATGGATATATCTTAGAATCGGATGTGCAACAAACAGATAATGGTATTCGTCTACAATTACGACGAAATCAAGCCGTTGCTAGTATGTTTCCTACTCCAATTGATAATGTCATGCTCGATGTACAATATTATACAAATGATATACTCAGATTTAAATTGTACGATGCGGATAATCAACGATATGAGGTTTGATCATGAAATAATTTATTGAAATGATTCTGTATATATTTCTTTTACTTCAAGGTACCTATTCCATTAACTTCTTCACCCGGTCGAGCATCATTGCCTCAATATGAATTCATTTATTCATCGAATTCTTCACGTGATAATATTTTTTCATTTCGAATTCAACGTCGAATCATTGGAACGATATTATTCGATACATCTCCCGGTGGTCTTGTACTAAATAATCAATTTCTTCAAATAGTCACACGACTACAATCACCACATATCTACGGATTTGGTGAGAATAATCATGATACACTGAAACATAATGTTGACGAACATAAAACATGGGGTATTTTCGCTCGTGATCAAGGTTAGTTTATCAGAAAAAAAAATCAGTCTATTTTCATGTTGAATCAAGTTTTCTTTTTGGATTCAGGTACCAAGTGGGATACAAATGCTAATCATTATGGTTCACATCCATTTTATCTCGTTATGGAACAAATACCACATTCAGCACAAGTTCCATCAGGTAATATGCATGGTGTTCTATTGCTCAATTCAAATGCAATGGATTATTCGTTTTCATCCATGCCATCATTAACAATGCGTACAATTGGTGGTATTCTTGATTTTTTTGTATTTCTCGGTCCAAAACCAGAACAAGTCATTCAACAATATACATGGCTTGTTGGTCGATCGATTCTTCCACCGTATTGGTCACTTGGTTTTCAACTTGCCCGTTGGAATTATTCGAATTTAACACATATGCAAAATGTTGTCAAACGAAATCGTGATGCTGGTATTCCACTCGATGTTCAATATGCTGATATTGATTATATGGATGAAAAAAAACTTTTCACTATTGATCCGATTAATTATCGTGGATTAAAAGAATATTTTGCTCAATTGAATACTGAAGGAATTAGAACAATTATTACACTTGATCCTGGTTCAATTGATGATCAAATTTATTATGCACCAACAATTGAAGGCATTCAAGAAGATGTTTTTATCAAATGGAATGATGGACAAACACCGGTAAAAGGTTCTTGTTGGCCTGGTGATGTTTTCTTTCCAGGTTAGTATTTATCATTTCATTTTATTCAAACAATCGAATTCAAATAATAAAGCCATATCAGATGACTTTTCACAGTTTTGATTTCTTATATTTTAATTTCATTCCAAGACAATGACACATATATTAATCAGTGTTCATCCAAGTCTGACTATATTTTCATTCGATTGTGATTCTTTTAAGATTATTCTACAGTAAAATGTAAATTGCAAAAATCTTTGGAAAAATGTCGAATTGACTTCAACTATTTTTTATTTGATAGAGTAAAGTCTAGACCGCAAATAAGTCTAGCAAATACTTGTTATTGTAATGAATTAGTACTGCACGATAATATACTTTATATTGATTTTAAAAAGAAGTCGTGCAACACTCGAAAACATTTATTTAACGAAATCCAAAGTATACATTGTGTTGTTTTTTGCCATTGATTTTTTTATTTATTAAATTGATATTCTAGCAGAAGGGATGTTACCAGAAAAAATTTTCTGATGAACAGCGTAACCAAAACTAAACTACGTATAGATGATTTGAACAGTGTTGTAAAGTTCTACTTGTGGCCATGTTTGGTTGAAACTTTCATTCAGACCACGCCGCGAAATGAACAGCTGAAAACAATGAAAAATCAGGTTACAAGCACACATTTTCATCATTGCTCTATGTCAATATGTTTCATCATCCAGACTTTGCTGTTTCAAACAAAAAAAAAACTAAAAATCAAGGTTCATTCAATATTCCGCTGCTGAAAAATACATTTTGACATTTTTCCAAAGACTTGCAATGTATGTTACTATATCATTTTTCTGAAAGACAATAGTTCATGAGTGTTGTAGTATACAGTGAAAGTAGTACATGATCTTCTTCATGTTTCATAGAACGCGATCAGTATCGAGAGATTTTTTTTCTAATATCAATTGCAGACTGAGAGGAACATGGAAAAACATTTCTGGTTACGTTCGAAATAAATCCTTTGTCTTTCACGCTTTAATCTTCCAACGATTACACTCCAAACTTTCTAAATAAGAATAAATTTCAGTATTTAATTTCAACACTAAAATCGATATAAATAAGAGTAGTGTTTTTCCGTAAGAGAACATTTTACCAATGTCTTCGTTTTTATGAAGTAAAATTGCTCAAAACATAGATCATACTTTTGATAATGGATTTTCTAAACTGTTTGAAACTTGCTCAGGAAGTTATTGCAGATAAAATTCTACGCCTATAAACTCTAGAATTGATATTGTTTTATCAGTAGAAGGGAATATTAGATAGGACCCATGATAACAATATGAGACTTCTTCACAATATGATTGCGTGGTACACAGGGTTTCTTAATATGTAGATTCAAAGAAGTGAGCCAATTTTATGAGCCACACGCTTGTCGAACTTGCCGTTGCTAAGCTATTTTGTTTATATAAACAATTAAAAACATCAATGTTTGCATATCTTAAATATTTTTCTTTCAATTATTTGAAAGCGGTAAACTTGTGTTATTCGACTCATTAAAATCATTTTGAATAACAAACACAAAAAAGTATGAGAAAAAAAAAACGTTTAATTAGTGTTGAATTGAATTATAAAGATCTTCTGCATGACATCTGACATACATCAACTCGTCTATTCAGTATAGCAGATTTCTACATAGAATACACATGAATATTTTTATTTTGTGCACAGATTTCTTTACCAATCAAGCTCAAGTATGGTGGTCACGCTGGATCAGTGATTTTGAACGTGTCAGTCTAAGTTTCGATGGACTTTGTATTGATATGAATGAACCAGGTATGAATATGTTTGTTGTAATCCTAGAAACAGTATCAGTAATATGTGATTAAAATATTATGTCTTATTCTTGAACAGCCCTATTTGATACTAATAATGAAATTCCATGGAATTCGATGCAAACTGGCAGTAATTACACACTAAAATGTCCAAATAACGGATGGGATGATCCTCCTTATCGAACCAAAGCTGTTTTTCGCTACGATATCAATTTAAATAGAGCTGGCCGTCTTTCCGATCATACGATGTGTATGTCAATTCGACAGGGTGATATCGATTTGAAAACTAACCAATCCAAATATCTTCATTATGATGTACACAGGTATAAAATTGTAATAATATGTCAGTTTTTTTTTGATAACAACTTTCTCTTACTTTTCTAGTTTATATGGATGGAGTCAAACAAAGCCAACCTTAGATATCATGCGAACAATAACTGGTAAACGAAGTTTAGTTTTACCTCGTTCAACTTTTGTCGGTTCGGGTCAATGGAGTGGCCATTGGCTTGGAGATAATGAAGCAACATGGCATGAAATGAAACGATCATTAATCGGTATGATTGAATTCAATTGGTTTGGTATTCCATTTAATGGTGCCGACATTTGTGGATTTGATAAAACACCAAGTGAAGAAATGTGTATTCGGTAATAATTCTATATGATCTTTGCATTTTTGTTTACTTTCAAATATTAATTATTACTTGTTTATTCTAGTTGGATGCAAGTTGGTGCTTTCTATCCATATTCTCGAAATGTAAATTTAACATAGATTAACATTCACATAAGAGAATATCTTCTTCGTCTTCTCCTCTTTTAGCATAATATTTGGAAAACACCGGATCAAGATCCAGCATCATGGTCTTCATTAGCCGTGTCTATCATGGTTTCTGTTCTTCGTATTCGTTATACTTTGCTTCCATATTATTATACACTTTTCTACAAAGCACACACACAAGGTTCGACAGTTATTCGACCATTGCTTCATGAATATCCAACAGATAAAACAACACTCGATTTATATCTTCAATTTCTTATTGGATCTCATCTTATGATTGCACCAGTAACTGATCATGGAGCACGACAAGTTCAAGTTTATATTCCATCATTGTATTGGTATAATTTTTATACAGGTGTACGCATCGCTAGTGAACAAAAATTTATTTCAATGGATGCACCTTTGAATACGATTCCAATTTTATTAAGAGGTGGAGCTATTTTACCAACACAAGGATATGCAAATAATACAAAATATTCAAGGTAAACAGTGAAGAAAAGTTCAGATTTGGTTCTTGTTTTAATTTTTATCGATTTTTCCTCAAAATGATTTTCTATACTAGAAAAAAAAATCGTTCAGTAGAATTTCAAAAAGATATTATAACGGAATCTTGAAAGGGAATTAAAAGATCATATTCTAAATGAAGAAGCAGAATCTTACCAATATTTAGAATTTTACGTAGATTTCGAATTTAAAAATAAACAACAAAAATATTGTAAGTTTACCTTTCTCGTTGTTAAATCGATATGTTTCTCTAATGGGGAAAAAGCAGATCCTAATATCCTGTGAGATCTCGAGATCCAGAATCTGTTTTCTCACACGTGTTTATCACAATTTGTCACCAAGATTGGAAGTATGACTTTTCTTCATGAATAGAGAAAATCCATTTGGTCTGATAATTGTGCTCGATTCGAATGGAAATGCTGAAGGTGATCTATTTTATGATGATGGTGAATCAATTGATACAATCGGTTCAAAAACCTATTTCTATGCAACATATAAATGTTCAATGAATGATCGTCAATTGTTCATCAATATTATTGAAAATAATTATGCTCACATGGCAAATTTAACATTGAATTCATTAATGATCTATGGATTAGATCGAATACCGGCCGCTATTAATGTTGATGGGAATGAATTACGTCCAATAATACAACGTCGACAACAAATTATCGAAATTCGTGAATTACAATTGACAATGCATGAAAATCATTTGATCACATGGCAATATCTAGATATACCTGTCGTTGAACCGCGTGAGATTATTATTACTGACCCCAAATATCGTATCGATTGCTATCCTGATTTTGATGAATACAAATTGTTTTGTACGATCGATCGATCACCAAATCAAACTGTTTTAACAATAACAAATCAATTATGTGCAGCTCGTGGTTGTACATGGGATTCGAATACGACAACAAATATACCATCGTGCTATATTCCAATAGAGAAAGGTGGCTATAATCTAACAAAACCACCAACTCAACTCTCGGATGCCATAACAATTTATACACTGAGTCGTCTGTCGACCAAACCTATTCAAGTTCGATCACTAAAATCTGCTGAACTAATTTATAAATATTCATTGACAAATCGTGTTATGGAGACTCGAATGAATGAATTTTCCATGTTCGGTGGCGATATTAATGATTTACAAGTTCCAGTCAGCCTGTCAGGTTCTGATAAGATCCGTATGACAATACGAGATGCACATGCACAACGATATGAAGTTCCGATTCCAATTATTTGGAAACCATCGGCTCCACTCACATCGTCTTTATCTAAAATCAAATTCGAAATAACCAAAACTCCCTATGGACAAGTCGGATTTCAAGTTCAACGTACAAATACACAATTGATTCTATTCGATACATCATTCTTTGCCAATGGCTTCATCTATGATGATAAATTTATTCAAATAATAACAACAATTCCATCAAGAAATATCTATGGTAAATCATGATTGACATCGAAATTTTTGAATTATCATTCTTTTTTTTCATAGGTTTTGGCGAAAATACTCATTTAAACTTCCGACATATTCTGACAGGATCATTTCGTTATAGTATGTTTGCCCGTGATCAACCACCAGGAGGAGGAAATGAAAATTTGTATGGTGCTCATCCATTCTATATGGTTATCG